ATGAGTATTTTGAAACAATTTGCAGGAGTCTTGTCGTCATTTTGCGCAAGACCAGAACAGATTCTGTGGAGGAAAATCAGATTATTTTGTTTTTCCTTCCTTGTTGCTCAAGCACCTTGTTTGGATGAGTAAAACCTATTTGCTTTTGAAATAATTAATTGAAACCTTAAAATTTCCTTTTTTTCCAGAAAGAACGAAACTTCTCTATGTTTAAATAATACCTGCCACAGAAAGGCACTTAATTCAAAATAACAAAACAAAATCAGTTCTGAGGAAGGGTCACCGGACCTGAAACGTTAACTCTGATTTATCTCCAAAGATGCCGCCAGACCTGCTGAGCTTTTTCAGCAATTTCTGTCTTTGCTTCTGATTTCCAGCATCCACAGTTCTTTTGGTTTGTAAAAAGAGAAGAGCTCTTCACTCTTTTGCCCTGAATGATAAGTTCTATACTGCTTGGCTTTCTTTAATAAAGAGTTATAAAATTTCATCCTAATTTTACATCTTGCGATCAGATCTTTGTGGCATCAAATGATTTGCGAAGAAATTAATGTACTAGTCAATGTATCACATTGAAGGTGGATGACCTGTGACAACTTGCGTTTATATAGCCTTGACATAGGAAAACATGCTAAGGTACTTTACAGGAGTGTTCTTAAACAAATTTTATTGTGCAGCTATGTAAGAAAATATTAGGTAAATTTAAGAAGTATCTTAAAAGCAGAGTGATGGTAAAGAGCCAGGAGTCGGGGGAGAAAGCCTTGGAAGGATTTAAGAGCAAGAATGAGGATTTTAAAATCTGACACAAAAGCCAGAAATTGCTGGAGAAACTGAGCAGTCTGGGAGCATTTGTGGAGAGGAAACAGGTAGCATTTCAAGTCCAGTGACCCTTCTTCAGAACTTCACTTCTGCAGTTCTGAAGAAGGTCACTGGACTCAATGTTAACATTCTGTTTTCTGTCCACAGACTATGCCAGAACGACTGAGTTTCTCCAGCAATTTCTGTTTTTGTTTCAGATTCGCAGCATCCGCAGCTCTTCTGTTTTATTTTAAAATTGAGGAGTCGTTCAATTGCAACTCAACTCAAGATGGGTCAGTGATTGCACGGTTGATGAGTGAACATAACTTGTTTTGGGTTGGAACATGGGTGGCTGCATTTTAGTTGAACTCAAGATTTTTGTGTTATGTAGGATGGATGATTAGAAGTTGACCTGGGGAACATTTTAGTTCAGTCTGAAGATAACAAAAATACAGGTGAGGGTTACAATAGCCGATGAACTGAGCCATGAGATGGAGTTGGCTGATGTAAGGAAGTCCTATTTGTAATAGGGTCTATCCAATTCAATTCAATGCAATACATAATACCTGCGAAGGGCCCTCATTACCTGAGAAGGGTTCTCATCATCACCTCCAGAGTAAAGTTCCCATGGTTACAGGTGTCCAACAATATGACTTAAGAGTAAATCCATATGTGTAATGTAGGAAAAAGGATTTTGTAAAGTCAATGGATGAATGTTCTTTTACGTGGTGAATAGGTGAAGGGCATTGTGCAGGACATATTTCCTGATTAACAGATAGAAATGGATTTAGATCAGTATTGTGGATCTTAATTACATGCAAACTCTATGATGACTTGTATAATTGAGGTTATCAGTTGGACATTGGTTTGATGTTTTGAAGTGGTTATTCATGATTCTCAAATCAATCTGTAAACCAAGCCCTTGAAAGGGTTGTGTAACAATTTCAACATTGCAAACTTGATATAAATGTAAACTCAAGTCTCCTGCACATTCTGATTTTACCCTTTTTTAATGGAAAGCAAATGAAAGGTGATTGTTAATTACTATGAATGTTTAAAATGGATGTGATTATGTCATGAGTCAAACTGAATTTGCTTCAATTCACTGGGAAGTTTTGTCTAATTTTTGACTAATGCTGAGTTAAATTTATTAATCTTAATTTTCCATTTTGTTCCTTGTAGAATGATTGGTTAATATTCAGATTTCACAGAGTAAGTTACCATAGTTTTGTCTTATTTGTGTGGCTTTGACTTCAGAGGAATGATCTACTCAAGGAAATTTGTGATATTATCACAGATTTTGTTTCAAGTCTCATGAACTCAAATGGATTTATTTCAGTTGTAAATCCTGCACAGTCTAATTTCTTCTACACTCGCTACCTTGTGTATCTTGTTTCACGTAATTCATGGTTCTCTTTTCTTGTCTATGTTTTTTGTTGAGTTGTCTCCTTGTGTGTCTCCATACATTTTCTGTCACTTTTTACTTTGGCATTTCTGCTTCCTGACACCTTTGTTGCTTAGGATTTGTCTTCAAGGCCATGTGATCTTTTTGCTGACTCCAATGGTGTATTTTCTCCAAAGAAGGTTGGTATATACAATAGCATCAAGATGGTGTTAAATGCTCTATTTATGATGTGTGGTGCTTGTGTTTAATATTAAAGTATTGCATATACAAGTGTACAATCTTTTGTGTCCATTTAGTACAATACAATTACAGGAGGTGTATTTCAATCTACTGATCAGTTTTCTCACCTGCAATAGCACTTGGTATTGCACTGTTCTTCTGTGGTCGCACTGTCTGGTCTGGACTATAAAATGAATAACATTACACTTCAGTTGTTTGTGTTTGGAACATTTACACTTCAGTTGGCTAATTAAGTCCTTTAGAGGGCTCTTTCATCTGAATTGTTTAACCTGAGGGTCACAATGCCTCAGGTGAGGGGAGAGGTTGAGAAGTTGGGACCTGAGGCGGGACCTCAGCTGGTGCAGGAATTGAACCCATGTTGACGTCACTCTGCATCACTAACCAACCATCCAACAGACAAAGCTAATCTTCGCCTACCGGAAATGACTCAAAAAGACAACCACTAACCCATAATTGTTTAGATTTAGAGAGAGTTTGTGAAAATCTCTTGGGAGTGCTGTTCTGAACATCTTGAAAATCTAGGCGTGTCCTGGAATATATTGGGATGCTTTTAGACTCTCTCGCATTGTAGGCCAGTTTTTCTTCCTCTTGTTGTAGTCCCTTCTAACATGAAGTGTCCTATCCTGATGCCTGCTTCCTTATTGATTAAATTTGTTGAGTTAAAAACTAATTGAATGTATGATGAAAGTCATGAAATCCACCATAACGTATAATTTAATACCACAGTGATTTAGACACAATTGATTTTGATTAAAGGTCAAATAAAGCATGATCAAAGGAAGACTTTTTGCCTTTTTAATTGACAGTTTTAAAACTGTATATTATTGCGGGATGTGGTCAGCATAGTGGTTTAAATCCTGCCCTTTCATCTCCAGGGATGAACAATCTCTCTGGTCTCGAAGGGTCTCGTGAAAGTTTTGGACCTTGAACCTCAATTTCTGGCTGGGGCCATCATTTTTTTTTTCCCAATGAATTGGAAGCTACTGTTCAAGTTCTTAGTCATTCTATTTCAATTCAATTTCTTCAGCTCTGTGAGCAGCATTAATTATTCTTGTTTGAAGTAAACAGATTCAACAACCCCCAATTAAAATCTGCCTTCACAAAGCATGCTTCACTGTGCTTGCTCAGGAGTGGGAAAATGCAAGGAGAAGTGAGAGCCATTACAGATTATGTTCATGGCATTGTTAGTCTCAGTTATTTTTTTAGAAAATTAAATATGCAAGCTATGAGTGAGCTGATCATTTGAATATTGTTTAACATTGTTTCAAATTGCTTTTCATTTTGCCAGTTCACATCAGTTCTGACTTTGGGAGGGCTTTTAAAGATTGCAGCCGAACAATTTTGAAGCTTAGGTCAAATTGATGCGAAGAAGAGTTTGAAAGACTGCATTCGTTCCCCCTTAATTGGAATAAATAAAAATTGTAATGTAATTACACTGTAATTTTTAGAATGGTGCAAATAGAAGATATTCTGTTGCTAAGCGCTATTTCTGGTCACGAGGCTGACTATAATTGGTAATCAAGGTTATTGTTGCAACGTTTTCTGATAAACCTCACTCTTAAATATTTTGCATTCATTGGCACTAGTATATCGATACAGAAAGTGCTTTTGTAACTGTGGAACCTATCAGTATCCATAAGACCACTAGATATAAGAGTATAATTAGGCCATTCATCCCATTGAGTCTGCTGTGCCGTTTGTTCATGGCTGATATGTTTCTCAATTCCATTCTCCTGTCTTCTCTCAGTAATCCTCGATCCTTTTAATAAGAGGAACTCCTTATTTTTATTCCCCCAATGATCAACAGAGCAGCCGTTATGTATAGCACCCTGTTAATAGAAATTTAATGCAGTGTCCTTGCATCTGGTTCTTTGTATCATTTTGCAAATTTTAAACTGTGGACTTTTCTTCTCCCCTCCTGAACAAGCTTATTTCTTGCAAGCAGGGTGCATTGTGGCTGCTTGGTACCTCACCCAAGTGATCATTGTCGATATGCAAGTTTGGACAGAGAAACGGTGTGGCATTGAACCTTGTTTTTCCCCCAAGGGGGGTGGTCAAGGCAGCAGCACAACGTCATGAGATCACACCTGCAAGTGCTCTTGTACAGAAGTCCCAAATACCATTGGGAGTTGGAGCCTTGGTCTTTTCCGATCTTTCTTCATCCCTTGTCCATTCCCATTCTGCCCCCTGGATATTTTTGGACACACGAAAAGACCGGTTCTGACATCTCAGCTGCCTGATTAACTAGCCATGCATCTGGACTGAAGTTGGTTTATCTGCTATTTTGCTTTTTGTTTGTTTGTGCATTTATTCCTGGAGGTATCCAGTGACCAAGTTGAGAACACCTTTTCAAATGATTGCATTTATTGGAGCTAAGACTAGTCATTGAAATGCAAGTTATTTCGGTAGATCTCAAGCCAGGTTAGACATTGTAATTCTACTTTGGCTAGTGGATAGGGTTTTTTTTTTGTTGCAAAGAATAATATGCAAAATTAGCCTGAATTACTTATAAAATCTACAGATTTTAACAATACGCTTTTTTTTCTGTTTTTCATGTCAGACGCCACACCTTGTGAACCTCAATGAGGATCCTCTCATGTCAGAGTGTCTTCTTTACTACATCAAAGATGGCATCACCAGGTAATGAGCTTCAATAAACTTTCAAGCTATTTTGAACAAGGCATCACACAATGACAAACTGGATTGATTTTTGATTTTATACAGCTTAACAGTGATGGATTTATTTTCCCATTTAAGATGTCCTCTGAGTTTTGGTTTGAAAGGATTCAATTTTTGTGAAGTATCTGTTTTGAAATGTAGTCTTTCATGCAATGAATGTGAATTAATTGTATTGAGATATTTTAATAGTTTAAATACATATCATTTGATTTTTAATAGCATAAAATTCTTCTGAAAGCTGAAAATAGCTAATTAAAACCCAATGTTCAACCATTTTGGAAAAAAAATATTTAATTTGTACCTTAGGTTTCATTGGCCAAGTTTGCTGAAATGTTCCTTTTAGTTAAATTCTAGTGGAGGATACGGGTAGAACAATAGAACAGGAAAAGGCCAATTAGCCTCTGAGTCCATTTCACCATTCAGTGAGATTGTGGCTGTGCCCTATTTCGCTCAGTGCCTTTGGACAACATGAAGCTAGCGACCTCTGTTATATGTTCACAATTGATCTGGCATTTCCACCATCCTTTGTGTAGAAATGTCTCAATCTCAGTCTTAAAAGGCCTGGCTCTAATCTTTAAGATATCGCTCCAGTTGTAAACTACATGCTCATGTGTGTACACACGTTGACTGGTTGCTCTTGCTGTTTGGCTGTTGCTTTTTGGCTCTCACATTCTCACACTTTCACTTCTTTGTGCACACTCTCGCTGTCTTGCACACACTTGCTCTTATTCTGTCTCGCGTATGTATGCGCTCTTGTTCTCGAGCACGCAGTCTGTCTTGCTCTTGTGCATGCTTGCTTTCATTCTGTCTTGTGCATGTAACTCTTGCTGACTAATGCCCTTTGATTTGCTCTCTCATGCTTATTTTCTCTGCCACTGTCCATCTATCTCACCCACCCAATCTCTCTGTGGCATCCTCTCTCCCATGCTTTCTCTTCCAGCCATCTCCCCTTAATATTTTGGAAATTGAGCTGATTCTGATCTGTTTTAAGCATTGTATTGAGTAAGGAGGTCTAAAACTGTTTAATTGAAGATATGTTAGTTTTTATTGCACCTTAAATGTGTTTGTATCCCAACAAAAATGTTAACACCAAAATAAGTACATACAATGTACAGCATAGAAACTGGTGAGTGCAGTGCAATACTCGCTCACTGGTTTCCCTGAGAAAGTTAAATTGGATAGTAAACTCCCTTTGACTACAATACCCAGGGGGCCCTAAATTTGCATTTGAGAAACATACGCTAAACTATACTACCAAGCTTTTGATTTCTCAGACTTTCAATACGCTCTTAGAGTGAATTGCCAACTCAATAGCTGTTCCATAAATGTCTCCTAAGTTTTCAAAAGATCAAAATCTTGACCCCAATTCAGCTAAACAATTGGCTTGAGCCAGAGGAGAATAAAATCATTTTCAACCTTTTTTTTTTTTTGGCATCTCTTCTGGTGATTCATGCTTCAACCTTACTTTAATCAAGTCTGTAATTAAATAATTAACACAATTGTAAGTGGAAACCTCACTTGATTTGAGAGTATGTTTAACTGCAGTAAATGTGTATTTTTTTTTTAGGGTTGGCCAAGCAGATGCCCAGAGACGTCAGGACATTGTTCTCAGTGGTGCCCACATTAGAGAAGAGCACTGTAGTTTCAAGAGTGACATGAATCAAAATGGTGAAGGTAAAAGTTAACAGGCTGGTTTTATTTTCCACAGAAATTTCATGAAGAGATTTTATTTCATTGCCATTTTGGGATCGGCATTACAAATTCTCTGAATCAGAATAGGGTTCAGAGGCTACAAGGTGCAGGGCTGGATGAACAGAGCAGGCCAAGCAGCATCATACGAGCAGACAGGCTGACGTTTCGGGCCGAGACCCTTCATCAGAAAAGGGGGAGGGGAAGGGGGTTCCGAAATAAATAGGGAGAGAGTGGGAGGCGGATAGAAGAGGGATAGAGGAGAGGATAGGTGGAGAGGAAACAAACAGGTCGAAGAGGCGGGGATGGAGCCAGGAAAGGTGAGTGTAGGTAGGGAGTTAGGAAGGGGATAGGTCATTCCAGGGAGGACGGACAGGTCAAGGGGGCGGGATGAGGTTGGTGGGAGGAGGGGATAGGTGGGAGGAAGAACAGGTTAGGGAGGCAGGGACGAGCTGGACTGGTTTTGGGATGCGGTAGGGGGAGGGGAGATTTTGAAACTTGTGAAATCCTCCTGTGTTGATACCAGATGCTCTGCAAGTTGAGGCCGATTAGGGAGACACAGGTCAGCATTGGGCTATAACGTAACACTCCTGTTTCTTTAAAACAGGGAATTTGTAATAAACCACAAACAAAAACAAATTCCTGGAAAAGCTGAGTGGGTCTGGCAGCATCTGTGGAGCGAAATCAGAGTTAACGTTTTGGGTTGAATGCCTCTTCCTCAGAACCTCGTCACTCGACCCGAAACATTAACTCTGATTTCTCTCCACAGATGCTGCCAGACCCACTCGGCTTTTCCAGGAGTTTGTTTTACAGCATCTGCAGTTCTTTTTGGTTGTCATTTAGAACGTTGAAATAAATAAATGTTAATAAATCTTTCAATCAGAGACTCGAATAATGTTTTGAGAATTGAGAGCTTGGGTTTTAACATTACTGTATTATGATGCTGTACTTATTCAAATGTAAAAGGTGTAGTTTTGCAAGAAATTGATTTCACTGTGCAACACTAAGCTTACATGGCGCAGGGCATGATACCAGGGTGGGACATGTGATTATGTTTCTGGATCAGATTTCTTCATTGGTTTAGAATCTGTTTTGTGATCCCTACAGAAACCTGTAAAAAAAAAACAATTAATTTTCCCAGTGACTGATGGCAATGTTCAAAGGACAAGATGATATACTTTTAAGACCTATACTGTAACAAACTAGCTAAAGTCAACATAAATCAAACATTACAGAGTAGACAACTAACAGATTGACATAAAAACCGAAAGAACTGCGGATGCAGTAAATCAGGAACGTAAACAGAAGTTGCTGGAAAAGCTCAGCAGGTGTGGCAGCATCTCTGAAGTGGTCTGGACTCAAAACATTAACTTTAACTTTGATTTTTTTTCCTTCAGAGATGCTGCCAGACCTGCTGAGCTTTTCCAGCAACTTCTGTTTGTGTTCCTAATATATTGACACAATTAGTTAATGCAATGTACATTAATGTAGTTGAGATGTGCCTCATCTCCCCTTTTGCTGTGCAATGCCCATCTTGCAGGTGTGTATTACATGAACAGGTTGCTTGTTACTCTTTGCTCCCTATCAGCCACGTTAGGTTACAATGTCCAGTCGCCTTCAAACATTTTCCGCTGCACTTGAGTCTTCCTGATCCAGTTTGCATCAGCTTTGATTCATTTCAATGATTCAATTTATCTTGGTGGTTCCTTGTTCCTTAAATCCTTCAAATTCACCTTGATTCTGTCTCCTTTGGTTTTGTTCAGAAAACAAATAGTTGAAGCATCCTGCTTCCATGGCAACCAGTTTGCCTGCCTGTGCATGCTCTCTCACTGTTGCACCACCGCCACCCCGCCTCCATGTCTCTCAAAAGCAGCTATCCTTTCGCTATGAGACCACATGGCAAGGTGTGGAAAGTGTCTCAGAATTTCAGTAGATTCCTGTTTGAGTCCCTGCCAGTCCACCTTCCTCAATGACAACAGACCGCAGAGACTAGTCTGTGAGAGCTGGTTGTTTCCAGAATTCACAATTTTATCTTCAATGTTTTATAATTAAGACATTTTAAGACATTACCATATTATGAAGTCCACCATTTTAGCATTGTTTTTGGGATATTTTCAGGCCGATATTGCAACACTGTTAAGCGAATGTGATGGCCTTGATGATTGGTCACTATTTAGTTTGAATAATTAAATAGTTTTGGATGGGGCTGGGAGAGAGAACAAAGGATGTGGGAGAGTGGGGTCCTCCTCTTCCTCCGTCCACCCCAACACCCTACCTGTGCATGGTTGTATTCTTTAATGCTCGTGTGTATTTGTGGGGGATAGGACATATGTTCCACTGTGTCAGCAAATGCAGCCTTTGTATAATGCTTTGTGAGCGGTGCATTTCTCAAGGCAGGAGCAGCTGGTGTAATGGTGACCATGTAACCATTCTCAATTGTTGTAAAGACATAACTGGTTCACTAATGTCCTCTTGGGGGAAGAAATCTTCTGTCCTTGCCTGGTCTGGCCTACATGTGACTCCAGGCCTACATGTGACTCCAGACCTACAGCAGTGTGGTTGGCTCTTAAGTGCCCTCTGAAATGACGTAGCAAGCCACACAGTTCAAGGGCAGGGAAATGGGGAAACAAACACTGGCCTCAGCAGTGTTACCCACACTCCATGTAAGAACAAAATAAAACTTTAGTGTCTGCTGGCAATACTAGGAACAAAGTTACAATGAAGCAGTGAGCTTGGTCTTATACACTGGGTTTTCCCGGGCAGATTTAGAACGTGCAGTTAATTGTAAAACACAGCACAGATAGTGTAAAGCACAAGTCAGCTCACTGCTTCCCCTGGCAGCCATCAGCTCTATGAAATATCCTCACGCACCCAGGAGCATGGTTTTTCTCACTTCTTATAAGTGAGCAGTAGCTAAATATCTTTACTGTCTCTTGCCTTCACAGTTATTGTTACTCTGGTTCCCTGTGAAGGATCTGAAACTTATGTGAATGGCAAACGAGTTGCCAATCCAGTGAAACTGCGTTCAGGTAGGCAAAGATACTGATTGATAATTCAATCTATTAAGTTTATGCTTCTTCTAGTTGCATGTTTTAGATTAGTGTGGTCTTTGATCCTGCTTTATTATCTTCTATTGTGAGTTGATACTTTTGTGGGCAGCATGGTGGCTCAGTGGTTAGCCCTGCTACTTCACCAGGGACCCGGGTTCAGTCCCACCTTGGGGCGACTATCTGTGGGGTGTGCACCTTTTCCCCGTGTCCCACACGGGTTTCCTTTGGTTTAATCCCACAGTCCAAAGATGTGCAGGGTAGGTGGATTGGCCATGCTAAATTGTCCCATAGTGTCCAGGGATGTGCAGGCTAGATGGATTAGCCATGGGAAATGCGGAGTTACAGGGATAGGGTGGAGGATGGGTCAGGGTCAGATTCCCTTCAGAGAATAGGCGTGGACTCGATGGGCCGAATGACCTTTTCTGCACTGTAGGGATTCTACGGTCCTATGTTTTCGAAGGCTGACCAACAGTGTCCAAGCTGATACAAGTGCCTGCATGCATTCACCAGTCAGCCAAAAGTGGGAACTCCAGCTGTCAATGTTTCTTTTTTTTTGTCTCGTGTTAGAATCCAGGCGTAGTGAGCAGTAACTAAATCCAAAAAAATCTTAGCATCGATACCTCGGAACATAACCGAGTGTAGAATTGTAAATTGATGACTGCGTGGAAGGAGGGCCCTACACTTTAGAAACTTCCAGTTTGACCAAACATTTGATCATCTGATCTAATATCTCCTTATGAGGCTCGGTGCCAGATTTTATTTTGTAACGCTTCGGCAAAGTGACTTTGCCTTTAAAAATGTGTTTTCTTTTTATAAAAATGTACACATGAAAGTTGTTCTTTGTGACATCTGTGTTTTTGTTTTAGTTTTTACCTGTCTACATATTTTTAAAAAATATTCATTCTTGGGCTGTGGTTGTTGCTGGCTCGGCCACCATTTATTACCCATCACTAGTTGCGATTGAGAAGGTGGTGATGAGCTACCTCTTGAACCACTGAAGTCCATATGCTGTAGGTTGACCCACAGTGACATTCGGGAGGGAATTCCACGGTTTTGACCCAGCGACACTGAAGGAACGGTGATATGTTTCCAAATCAGAATGATGAGTGGCTTGGAAGTGACCCCATGTATCTGCTGCCCTTATCCTCCTAGATGGAAGTGGTCGTGGGCTCAGGAGATGCTGTCTGAGGATGTTAGTTGCAGTGTCCTGAAATTTGAAACTCTTGGCTCAAAATTTCTTTCAGGGAATCGTATTATAATGGGCAAGAATCACGTCTTTCGGTTCAATCACCCTGAGCAGGCACGTGCTGAACGTGAGAAGACCCCATCTGCTGAGACTCCAGTCGAACCTGTTGATTGGGCCTTTGCTCAACGGGAACTTCTGGAAAAGCAAGGCATAGATATGAAACAAGAAATGGAAAAAAGGTAATGGTAGCCTGGCGAATTTTAAAATTTTTGAATATACATGTTTTGGGTCAGTGTTTCAATGTGCCCAAGATAGATGATGTGGAGCTGCCGGTGTTAGACTGGGGTGGACAAAGTCCGAAGTCATGTGACACCAGGTTATTGTCCAACAGGTTTATTTGAAATCACAAACTTTCAGAACGCTGCTCCTTCATCGAAACCTGTTGGACTATAACCTGGTATCGTGTGACTTTTGACAAAATAGGTGATGTTCAAATTCAAAATGCACCACGTAAGTTGATCTTGGTACTTGGGTAAGATGTGCATAATAAAAGTACTTGATTATTCCAACTCCTGCGACACTAGTGAGACATTTCTGTTGCCCACAACGCTGTACCTGAGGTTTATGAATTTGCTGACATGAGCATTAAATAATAATGTGTTACCTGCAGGGGCCATGTTGTGTTTGCATTGGAATACCACAACGCAGTTATTTTGCATTCGTACCTGCACAGAATTCGGTTTCTCTCACTTTTAAACATTGCTTAATGTAAGAATGAATTCAAATTCTGCACTTCTGACGTATATCTTATTCATATGGATCTCAACTGATCAAAAATGATTGGCCTTCAATTGCTGGATTAGCATATGTAAGGCAATTGGATATATTAACACTAAAGTAAAGGTTAAATATTGCATATGCTAGAACATTAAAATAAAAAAATGTGCTGGAGAAATTCAGATGGTTTGGTAGCATCTATGGAGAGAGAAAAAGTTGACATTTTCAAGTCTAATAAGAGTCTTCTTTGGAAGAAGAGTAATTGAATCTGAAATGTTAACTCTGTTTATCGCACAACAGATCCTGCCAGAGCAGCTGAATTTCTCCAGCACTTCCTGTTTTGATTTTGGATGTGTTAACAAGTACTTGGGATTCTGGTGTGTGATCAATTCCAGTTGCCTCACAGAGGTGAGAGATTCTGTGTGGAGTAACATGGGCAAATTTCCTCTCAGTTTTGATGTGCTGTCACAGAATAACTTGCAAGTAGAAAAGATTATGAACCAGATTTTCTGAGGAGTGGCAGTCTTCTGCAGATGACCTTTCTACCCCTTCCTTTTTACAAAAGGAGGGAGCTCTGCATTTGTGTGAGGCAGTTCTGATCCTTGCTTCTTCAGAAATGCATAACCATATTTCCATTCCGACAGATCTTTCATAGTACAGAACTGTCAGGGGAAAGTAAACCCTACTCCCTCTACACAGCATTCTGTGGCAGTATTCTGACATTTAAAGATCTAGACAGCTGCTGTGGAATAGTAAGTAAATAAGGTGAGTGTGATCATAGGGTGCTGGGGAGCAAGGTGCCACGTGTGGGATTCTAGATGGGTGGGGTGCCAAGGAAGTAGGATGCCTGCTGGGTAAGGGGTACTGTGGGCAGGTTTGTAAGGAGGGTGCCAAGTACTAAGTGATGCAAGTGACCCGAGGGTAGATCAGGGTGAGTGGGAGAATTCAGATCTGGGAGGAGGTCCCAGCCGGGGGTGTTGAAAGGTGAAGTGCGTGCCTGGTCCCTGCGGGTGTTGAGTCAGTCTAGTGGGTGTGAGTGGTCAGGAGGAGTGTTGTTGGGGCTATGAGTGAGTTGGCTATGAGATCAATTGAGTAGCTACTCAGGAGTTAGGGAAAAGTTAAATAGATACTCAAATTATTTAACAATTTATTTACTTATTTCAGCAGAACCCTCCAAACTATCCAGTTTTAAGTGGATATTACTTGAGGGTTTCAAGCGTAGAGGAATAAATATACAAATTTTGATTCAAAAGCCAGTGCTTCTGATGTCCTCCCACTTTCAGTTTACATGATCAATCCCAATTCTGTGTTTAAGGTCACGGTTGGCGGGGGGGGTCAAGAGTGTAACAAAATGAACCGGGTGGCAGCTTTTGAACAGGAAGCGAAGTTGGGACAGGCTCATCATGTTGCCCCGTAATCTTACTGATAGGAAGGGAACTGCAGCACTTGTACTCTAAGCTGAATTTAAAAGTATGTAACAGAGGTAATAGATCCAGAGGATAGAATCATTACAGCACAGGAGGCTGTTAAGTTGGTCAAGTCCATTCTGGCTCACTCCAGATCAATCAATCTCGTTCAGCCACTGTATCCTGTATTTCATTCATTTATATGACATAGAAAGCGATTTGCAATTTGAACAACGTGCGCAAAATAGTGACGATCTTTGCACGCAATGAAAAGTCACATCAACTACCATTTCAGATCTAAACAAAAAAAAACTAAAGAACTGCAGATGCTAGAAATCTTAAACAAAATCAGAAATTGCTGGAAATGTTCAGCAGGTCTAGCAGTATTAACCTGTTGGGTTCCGTGCTGAAGAAGGGTCACTGGACCCAAAATGCGAATGCTGCTTTCTTTCCACTGATGCTGCTGGGCCTGCTGAGCATTTCCAGCAGTTTCTGATTTTGCCATTTCAAATCTGTCATCTTCATTATCAGTGCCTACCATTAAAGAAGAATGTGTAAGGAAGAATCTTGAGGTTTCCATTTGTGAAGTTGTTGCTGTATTTGAATAAGTTACGCATTTGAAATGTTTCTGGCAGTGCTGTTTAAAGGGCGTAATCAATAAAAGCCTTTTTCCCCCACCCTGAATGAGACCTATTGTGTAAAGTCTTGTATCAACTGCTAATTTGAAGTTTGAAAATACACTCAATCTATCTGAAATAGTTTGTATTTGCATTGTCCTGTCATTCAACCTGAACTGAGGTATTGTCTAGTGTATATCAGTAATGATGGTTTTTGTGTCTGTGGCAATCACTTTGTACACAACAATGAGCGTATGCACAGCAAAGAAAGGTGTGCTTATGACGTTGCTTTACTGAAAATCAGGAATTATTAAATTAAAATTAAAGTTGCATAATCTCTTTCCAATTTGTCCATTCTTTAATCTGTCCTGAATTACATGGACTGTGCATCCACCATAGGAAATGGATGTAAAATATTCTATTCTCAACAGGCTTCAAGAAATGGAGATTCTCTACAAGAAAGAGAAGGAAGAAGCTGACCTGCTTTTGGAGCAACAGCGCTTGGTAAGGACTTTTGACTCAATGCTAACGTTTCTTGTGTGTCAGATGTTGATATTGCATTATCCTAGCCTGAATCGAGTGGATTATTTGTGCTTGCTTTGTTGATTTCCAGACACTACTAATTTTGCACAAACTTCTACCTCTGACTTTCCATTGAGCTCTTTGTGATAAGTGTTGAAATTGATCATTTAAAACTGCATGGGGCAATCCACTTCTCTTGCATGGGTCTTGATCTTCCTTGTATCTTCTACAGAAATAACCATTCTGCCATATTTGAACAACATCCCCACAGCAAGATATTTTCAGGGAGTTAAGGGCTATGGACTTAATAGAGGCTTTTGGCATAATTAGTTTTGTTTTCTTGAGCAGGAGAAATACAGATGTTGCAAAGTAAAACCACCCAAACATCTTGTAAAATGGAAATGACTCTTTTATATGAATTAATTGAGTTTTAGGGCAGTACTTTGGAGGAAGATCGGTGGAGAAAATAATAAAAAGCTGAACAAAGTAGTAATAATCATGGTGATCAGTCAGATAAAACCTCAAGGAAAAGCTAACAGGATAGGTCATCATCTGTAATAGTTAAGAGACAAATGTTTATGTTAATTCCTTTTTACAGTTGGTCTCTATTGAGTTGACGCTGCATACCAGTAGTATTCTTAAATAAAAAATAACGTGCAACACTGTCCCTGTAGACTTATTTTGGACCTGTTCTTGAAATAAGAAATGAGATAGTAACTGGCTGGTGTCTAGGACTTGACTTAAAATCTAATTCAACGGAGGAGCTCATTCTCCTGTTTATGTTGCAAGAGTCCTTTGGGAACTGGGAGATGGTGGCCAAGTGGTATTATCGCCGGGCTGATAATCCAGAGACCCAGGTAATGTTCTGGGGACCTGGGTTCGAATCCTGCCATGGCAGATGGTGGAATTTGAATTCAATAAAAATCTCTGGAATTAAGAGTCTAATGATGACCATGAATCGATTGTCGGAAAAGCCCATCTGGTTCACCAATGTCCTTATCTGGTCTGGCTTACATGTGACTCCAGACCCACAGCAATGTAGTTGACGCATAACTACCCTCAGGACAATTGGAGATGGGCAATAAATGCTGGCCTAGCCAGCGACACCCTCATCCTGTTAATGAATAAAAAAAATTCCCAGTAGGCATTGGCCTGCAGCACAAGATTTCCCATAATTTATTTCCCTTTGATAGTCTCTCTTAGAGAGGCCTAATGTTGTTTGGGAATTGGTAATTGGGGTAGGAGATGTGGGAAATTTGACAAAAATCCCAGACCTTCCAGACTGCAGAGCAAATGGACAGCAACAATTGTCAATCCATGACAGCTAGGTATGTACAGGATTGGGCAAGGCATTTCTGATCATTGCTCCTTGGTAACATGTGATGAGTAGCCACATGGACTGAGACAGCTACTGGCAAGTGCCTTGGGGTTCAGGAGTATTGTTTGAGGGATCCACCAATTCAGATTGTAGGAGATTTATTTTTTCCCTTCTGTAAACTGTATTGGAAAGGTTTCTTAAAAAGTCTCTGACAACATTTTGTTGCAAGTGTTGTTAATTCTGCCTTCCCTAATTATCCTTGTGAAACTGTTAGGAAGGAGGAGGAACCATTAAGTATAGCTTGCATTTGTGAAAGGTTATCAATTACAGTTCATCAAACACTTACACAAAGGATGTTGAGCAGCATTCAACTTTGTTTATTATAAAGTTCTGGTCAAATTCAGCAGGTCTGGCAGCAACTGTGAAGAGTGGAATGTGATTTAATATTGCACGGTTAATATTCTTAAGTGGTTTCATTTTCCTTTAACTAATTAAATGATTAATAGAAAAGTGAATGGAGCTCAACATCCTTTTTTGTAAATGGTTAATCTGTCAAATCAGTGAGATTCCTTTAACATTCACATCAATGGTGTATTGGTAAATTACAGTAGTGAGATGCGAGATCACCATGACCGTGTCGAATGGTGGAGCAGGCTCGAGGGGTTGAGTTACCTCCTACTGTTTCTGGATTTTATGATCCCTATTCTCTGCCCATTCCTGTTCACATGGTGTAGTAGCCAGTGTTTAAGCCTGAACATGAGTTCTGAATTCAAACTCCTAAAAGCAAAGAAGTCCAACTGTTGTCCAATTAAATATCTAAATTTAATTCATCAACCCATTTGGGTCTTTTGCAATTGATTTTTACTGTTTGTATTTAAAAGTTCGATGTATACCTACAGTGACATGGTTTTCTCTCTCTTGGTTTAAAGAGAAACCCTACAATGGTTCTAAAGTTTTGATACGTTACTGCTGGGTTGATTTTTTTCAAATGAATTTGACGGGCAGCAAAGATTAGGAATTTGAATGCTATGATTTGTTTAAAGGACAGCAATGGATCTTCAAGTTTATATTTTATCCTGTGACCGCTATGTTGCCCGTGCTAGCCTGACCCTTTCCATTTCACCTTAAGATACTAAACTCTGGCTATTTTGAGGTGACAATGTACTGTTGCCTTGCTTGTTTCAATATAATCTTCTGAATTATTTTGAATTTCTGACATTTAATTGTTGTCAATTATGCTTAATGTGCCAAATTAGACAATGGTAAATATTTATGTAGATTTTGTTTTCTTTTTCACCAACATTTGAGAGTTGGTAGTGTCTCATTCTTGCTCTAATCTGATCCCATCCCATTTCCACCCCCCCCCCCCCCCCCCCCCGCACACAATTCTTCTTGTAAATCAGTGTTCCTTGATTACTACAACACTGAAACATCACTAAGAAGTCTGGCAAATCTGGCATCTTTGGTCAAATTTGACCAGTGAAAGAAATCTCTCTTGACCAAAAATATCAAGCTCTTGGTCAAGTGTCAGTTGGTTAAATAACCAGTGTTGGTCAATTTCACCTTACTCCCATTTCAGCAAGGATGAGAAGCTACTTTAAAACGTACCTCAGCTTTGTGTAGTGTTGAGATGAGTATTGGCTGCTCTAGACTTAACTGCATTTATATGTGCACCTGCATTACTAACCTATCTTAACAACATCCATTCAACCACTATACCAAACTGGATGCATTACACACTTTTATACTGCCATTTTAAGTGGGGAGATTGTAAAGGGGCAATCACTTTTTTGCATGTTTGTAGCATGCGTTGAGTGCAGCTTTGAAATTCAGGAAGGGAGATAAAAACAAGTTTGGATTTGTCCAATAAATGAATAAAGGCAGTTTAACATTTTTTTAAAAAATTAAAATTCTAAATTTTATTTCCTCTTTGTTTGTCAAAATGATCATCTGCAGAATTGTGGTGCAGAATATGTAAATTTAGCTGATTTGTTTCTGCAGATATTTTTGAATGGTGTCATGCACAGTAAGATCCACCTGTACACTTACCCTAAGGGGCATGTCACAGGATAAATGTGCAAGTGTGCACTGTTTAAGCTGAGGCTGCTTTAACTGGGTAGATTGTATCACAGTGGATAACCTTGCGCTGAGTTTGAAAATATTTGCACCAAGTGTTTGAATCTTTTTAGAATTCTGGACCATAATTGTGTGTTTGATTATGTGCCAAAAGCTTATAAAGCATGTTCATCTAACTCATCATAGTTCTCACACTTCCCCATGTTTTGTTTGTGACTTCTGGATTTTTTTTATTTTTGTTCAATTTGAATTTTGGGTTTAATTTTAATTTTGGTTGTTTTGGGGCATTTTTTTTTGGTTTTTTTTAAAGGATGCAGACTCTGATAGTGGGGATGATTCAGACAAGAGATCATGTGAAGAAAGTTGGCGATTGATAACATCCTTGAGGGAGAAGCTACCTCCCAGCAAGCTGCAAACCATTGTAAAAAAGTGTGGCCTGCCCAGCAGTGGGAAAAAACACGAACAGATCAAAGTTTACCAGATTCCCAAACGGCGTAAAATTACCAAAGACCCGAAATGGGTGACCTTTTCAGACCTTAAGATCCAGGCTGTAAAGGAGATCTGTTATGAGGTGGCTCTGAATGATTTCAGACATACTAGGCAGGAGATTGAGGCACTGGCAGTTGTTAAAATGAAGGAACTCTGTGCCATGTATGGGAAGAAGGATCCCAATGAGAGAGATTCTTGGCGAGCTGTTGCAAGAGATGTGTGGGACACGGTTGGTGTCGGAGAAGAGAGGATTGATGATGTGGTCCCCACTGTGAAAACACCGAGTGACGTGGACGACCTTAAGTGCCATGTGGACAAACTGGAAAATATCTTGCAAGAGGTGAAGAAGCAGAACAACATGAAGGAAGAGGAGATAAAAATTCTTCGCAGTAAAATGTTGCAGATGGAGAAGGTTTTGCCATTGATTGATTCGCAGGAGCAGCAAGGCAAGTCTCCTGCTAGCAACGACAGGAGTAACAGGGACAGCAAAAACAAAGACGTTCCAGTCAAAGAGGACGAGATCAGCAAGGATGAGCGTGTCTCAAAACTGATGTTGGAAGATCCGGAATTCCGGCGTGGCCGTTTGCGGTGGATGAGGCTAGAGCAAATCCGGCTGAAAAATCTGCAGCAGCAGGAGATCACAAAACAGCTGCGCAGGCAGAATGGCCCGCACAGGTTCATCCCACCCGAGGATCGCAAGCTGCGGTTCCCTTTCAAGAGCTACCCCAGTCACCGAAACTCCTGGAGTCCGGGGACACACATCATCATAACGGATGACGAGGCGGTTGAATTTGTCGTCGAGAGGAATTCGAAGGAAGCGGGCAGGACTGAGGGAGAAGTCGGCGAAAAGAATGACCACGGTCAACCTCGTTCATGGCGCCCTTATGGGTCAGGCAGAGGGTATAACCCAGGCAACAGACAGCACCACAAGAACGATCAGCATCGCCGCTACCGGAGCAACTCCTTCAGTAATGGTCAACAGCGTGGCTTGCATCGGCAGAGTTCCAACTCCACTGAATCGTTGCAATCGTCCGATGGCCATCAAACACCAGAGTCCCCAACGCGCCACCAGAGACGCAACCATCAGCGGTCGCACTAC